GTTTGTAAAGTCTTTCTATATTGTATACCTGGTTGGGGGGGGTTATACCCAACGCGTCTCTCTAAAACGTGAAGTGTGATATTTTGGAGCAAGCTCAGCTCGTATTAATTCATCCGGAGATTGGCGGACCAACCCGCTGAGGAGAAAAACCCGGATCTTTAGGACCTGAACAGTATTTTTGCCTTAATGCTCATCCAGAGACATGCAAGATGAACTATAACAATAAACAAAAAATACCAGCCACTGCACATAGTCCCCAATACCTAGCTTTCTTTTTCTTTCACTGATCCTGTCTGTTCTCTGTACCATTTAGTTAAGCGCCAAGAACCATTGTTGTTATTAGAGGCTGGTGGTAATAAAATTGCTTAGATTTGCTTTTCAGGGTCGGTTCCCTTTTGGTTGTGTTTTTTATAGTGCTTGCGATGTTATCTCTTCTATGACACTGGTGTTGTCTGTTTGACTTGTGTACAACGAAAGTTGTCGGTCTCTGTTTTGTTGCGAGTCTGGATTAACTTTAGGTTCTGAGGTAAAGGAGTTAAGAAAGGTGTAACAAGGGGAGTACAGGGAGAGTCTCCCATATGTCCCCTCATCCCACCCCAAAGTCCCCTGTATTAACATCTTGTATTGATGTGGCACATTTGATTCAGTTGCTGAGGCAAATTGATACATTAATAGTAATTAAAGTCCAGAGCTTAAATTGGGGTTCACTCTTGGTGCTATATGTGTTTTACAGGCTGTGGCAAATGTATACTAATATGTATCCACCATTCAGGTATCTTATGCAATATTTTCACTGTCCGAAAAATCTGTGCTCTCCCTCTTCATCACTCCCTGCTTTCCTTTCAGTCCTTCCTCTTTTTCCTGTCTCTGTAGTTTTGCCTTTTCCAAAATGTCATAGAGTTGGAATCATATGATATCTAGCCTTCCAAGGCTGGTTTCTTTCATCTAGTACTATGCATTTAAGGTTCCTCCATGTCTTTTTGTGGCTTGGTAGCCCACCCCTTTCTATCACTGAAAAACATTCTGATACGGTTTGGCTGTGTCCCTGCCCAAATCTCATCTTGAATTGTAGTTCCCATTATCCTCACGCGTTGTGGGAGGGATCTGATGGGAGGTAATTGAATTATGGGGGTGGTTACCTCCACTTGGTTCTTGTGATAGTGAGTTCTCATGAGAGCTGATGGTTTTAAAGGGGCTTCCCCTACCTTGCTCTGCACTTCTCCCTGCTACCACCACGTGAACAAGGATGTGTTTGCCACGATTGTAAGTTTCCTGAGACCTCTCCCACCATGCTGAACTGTGAGTCAATTAAACCTGTTTCTTTTATAAATTACCCAATCTTGGGTATGTCTTTTTTAGCAGCATGAGAACCGACCAATACATATTCCATTGTATGAATATACCACAGTTATCTTTTGAAGGACATCAAGATTGTTTCCAATTTTTGGCAATGATGAATAAAGTTGCCATAAACATTTGTCGGTTTTTGTGTGGACAGAACTTTTCCACTCATTTGAGTAAATACCAAGGAGTGTGAATGGTATATCACAAAGTAATGGTTCATTTAGTTTTATGGGAAACTCTCAAATTGTCTTTCAAAGTAGCTGTACCATTTTGCATTTCCACCAGCAGAGAACGAGAGTTCCTGATGCTCCACATCCTCACCAGCATTCGATGTTGCCAGTGTTTTGGATTCTAGTCATGCTAATAGGTGTGCAATGGTATCTCACTGTTGTTTTAATTTAGCCCTAATGACATGTGATGTTGAGTGTCTTTTTGCCCTTTGTGTATGTTCTTTGGTGCAGTGTCTGTGATAGTGAGTTTATTATCATATACTTGTTTGCTTAAAGAACGTAATTAATATATAATCAATGCCTCAGAACTATACGGCGGGGGGTGTCCCCCGTCCATTTTAAATTGGCTATTTCATTATTAAACTGGCTGTTTTATTATTCCCTTTGGCTACTGGTCATTGGCTGACATAATAAAAACTGCAAGTGTGCACAATAGGACGGTCTCTTAGATATGCACATCTTCTTGTGAGAGATGGTATGCAACAGCAGACACCATATCAGATTAAGCCTCTGGACAGTTTGAGATACTCGCTGGCATTTTCCTACACACGGTCAAGGACTCTAGATTGCTCAGGTGGCAATAATTTGGTGTTAACAGATCCTGTCTAGAAGATACTTAAACTTTACAATTAATACTACAGGATAACAAGAGTATTTCATTACAGGCACAGTTAGGACAAACTATGAAGAAGAAACTGAGCTATAGAAATACCTATTCAACTTTAACTCTGGGATACAGGATTTAGGGTCTAAATATATTAGGATTGATTACAACAGCTGCAGAATTCTTTCTAGGGACAAATGTAAAAGTATAGACATTCTTGGAAATTATTACGATATTACTGTTTTTCCCTCTACCACTTTTTCTTGAGGGGTCCAAATTACCTTAGAAAATTCTTGTCATTGCTTATTAACACTACAGCCAGCAAACGGAGATATACAGCTTATGTGTTTGACTGAAGAAAGAGCATTAGGTGCTCTCTTAAGAGAACCTTTGTGTTAATGTCCCTGTCATCATCGCCATTGTCAATGAACTGACAGTAAGGACTCAAAATGCTAAGAACAAGATAAACACCAGCACCTGTATGGCCGACATGGCCTTTGAACAAGTATCAGCACTTCACAAGTGCCTGAAGTCACTTAAAAATGTTTAAATTTTTGTAAATGCCAAGAGGTGTTACTCTAAAGTAATACAAGAAGTTATAATGTAAGAAAAAGAAAAGGTTGAAGGTAGGGTTGGTTTAGGTGAATGCCATTCTCAGAGGCACATGACAACCTGAAGCTCTATTTTCCTCTAGAAAATAAGCAATGACAAGGTAGAGCATGTCCTCCTCATTGCAGGTGATAGAAAGGCCCTTATAAACATCTTCAAGTTCAACAAGGGAGATGGAGCCAATGGCTTCTGGGTGGTTTCTGCCTCCAGATCCTCCATGGGATGACTTTCTAGCTGGAAGCCTAGTGAAGGATGTGGTGGAGGCTTCTTGGATAACACTCATATTTGCTCCTTGCTGGTGGGAGATATGAAAGACTAGGGCCTGACTTGCACTGCATGGAGGGAATGACAACTGTGATTGGATTCTGCCTCCAACAAAGGCACACGAAAAGCTTAGGCAATGGAGTATGGGGGCGTTTGAGGTGGGACCAGCTGTCATGTCTGTGTGCATGAGCGTCTCAGAGCATGAAGCAGATGTGGGTGGTGCAGGGGAGCCGGCATGGTGTGAGTCCTCTTGGGTTGCCAGGAGGATCCAGGCCACGAAAGCCGAACGAGGCTAGCGATGTGCCCCCAGACGTCCAGGGGACAACGTGAATAAGCATAGGAACATAATGTATTGACTCGTTTCTGGAGGTTGCTTAAAACAAACAAAGAAATAAAAGTCCTCCTTAATGTCCTTGCAATAGCTATGCACATAACCTCATAATCCTTTTTCTCCATGAACAATGAAACTCAAACTGAATTTTGAGTAGCAAAGCAAGTTAATTCTCAATTCTAATCTTTTCAGAATTCAAAAGAGAGAAAATTCAACATGGCATTTAACAACTGCATTGCTATCTGAAGCTGAAATATGTATGTATATAAACAAACCTTTGGAGACTTTCTATTTTGGTCTGACTCCGAAGGTAGCTGAGGAGAAAATTGTATGGTATCCTTATCAATCTTGATTTGTCTTTCATGCCCTGAACCTATTATTTATTCTAATTATACTTATATAAATATTATTTGCTAGTGCCTTGTCTGCATTTAAATAAAGCTACAGAAGAAAACATATAGCATTCAAAATAGAAAGAAATATATGAGGTTGTCTTATGGTTGCTGATAACCATTGTTTAATTTCATCTACAAAGTTTTCTGGTGTTAATTAAGAATATTCATTAATGTTACTCTGAGGCACATGGTTTAACATTAATAAGGAAGAAAGCCAGCTAAGTTATTACATACAGATCCAATATTATGTCATTAAAAGTAGGGGCTGATTTGAATTTGAGCCATAGGAAATGTTAGTTAGTAAAAGTCAACAACCAAAGCAGGTGGACACCATGGCTCATGCCTATAAGCCCAGAACTTTGGGATGCTGAGGCAGGCGGATTGCTTGAGCTCAGGAGTTTGAGACCAGCCTGGGCACCATGATGAAACCCTATCTCTATCAAAAATGCAAAAAAATTAGTTAGGCGTGGTGGGACATGCCTATTGTCCCAGCTACTTGGGAGGCTGAGGTGGGAGGATGGCTTGAACCCAGGAGGCAGGGGTTGCAGTGAGCCAAGATCGTGCCACTACACTCCAGTCTGGGCCACAGAGCTAGATCCCATCTCAACTGCCCCCCACAAAAAAAGAAAAAACAGGAAGGAAGGAAGGAAGGAAGGAAGGAAGGAAGGAAGGAAGGAAGGAAGGAAGGAAGGAGAAAGGAAGGAAGGAAGGAAAAAGGAAGGAAGGAAGGAAAGGGGGAGAAAGGAAGGAAGGAAGGAAAGAGGGAGGGAGGGAGAAAGGAAGGAAGGAAGGAAGGAAAGGAGGAGGGAGGGAGAAAGGAAGGAAAAGAGAGAGAGAGAAACAAAGGAAAATCAGGGCAGTAGTAACATTTTGACTTACACCTTTACTATAAAGCTAGAAAAATGTAAGCAATAAAACATGAAAAACAGTTTTGTTGCAGTGTTTTTTCTTTCAAATGTATACAGAAGCAGCAGGCACCACAAATACCAAGAGAGTAAGCAAGCGATGTTATGGTGGAAAAATGTATGGTTTTATAAATCAAATATGGTGCTATTGAGGTCTACTCATCCTACCCAAAAGTGGCATCTTTTCTCAACGAATTCACCAAGATACTGTGGGCCACGCCTGGGGTCACTGCAGTGTTTCTCTAACTTTGTCAGGGCACCCTCACTTCCCACGGATGGAGAAGACGGATTCTGGATGGGAGTGTGGTGCTTGCTTACCACAGGCCTGTGCACATCCCAGAACGCTCTCTCTTGGCTGTCAAGGATCTTCCTTTCAATCTTGTCTCTCTTCTTGTCCACCCTGTCAACATGGTAACAATGGACAGCATTTAATGTTAATGGTTGTGCCTTTCTGGACAAAAGGCCACAACTTGAACAAATCTTCCAAAAGACTCACAAGGACTCACTTTGCTTGTGCTTCTGCTTGCATGAAAATGAACTCCCACTTCCGGGCAAAGGCTCTCTGCAGCCTGGCCAGGCTCTCCTGAAAAACACACCCCAGGTGAAGACATTCGGGTGTTCCTCTTCACTGCTCTCTTCTAGCTTAGTTACCACTTATGTTTGTCAAGGAAACAGACAGAGAGTCTCTAAAGCACAAGTGTACTGTGGTTCTGAATGATAATTCATGCTCCCTGAATTCAGCTCATCTTCATATTGGCAGTCTTAAAGGAAGTAGAAAAACTTATTACAGATATGAATTTTTTGAATTACTGACTTTGGAAAACAGGACTAAAAATCCACTATGTATCTGCAAAATACTAAAATTACCTGGCCCGTAAGGAGGTGCTCCAGAAGAACCCACTGGCTTTTTCTGTACCCACTTTATAGAGGAACAGATACAATACACTCCTACTATGAATGCAATCAGTGAAGTTCCTGACAATAAACGTAACACCCTGGCAGCCCACAACCTATTTCTACACAGTGCTTTGAATTCAGTAAATCAAAACATAGTAACCATCTGCACAAATGACATCAGCTTACTTTTATCTGCTGACGATCACCATCGGCAGATAAAATTTTTGCAAAACCCACTCTTTCCCAGGGTAGATGGTCTTTAATCCTCAGAGTTCGGATATCTTCACTATCTATGTATCTGACATTTCAACAGTTAAGTTGATTCTAGAAAATAAGATATGCTTCCCTCTTAGAGTTTATGTATTTAGGGTTTTGCCGCATGCAATGTGAATGAAGAGAGGAAGTAAGCAAACAGGGGCTCATGAACACAGTGTGCTGCCAGATCCCTGGAAATCTGACCCTTCAGATCCATGAATGAGGCTGGGCACCGTAGCTCATGCCTGTAATCCCAGCAATTTGGGAGGCCGAGGTGGGTAGATCACCTGAGGCCAGGAGTTCAAGACCAGCCTGGCCAATGTGGTGAAACTCAGTCTCTACTAAAAGTACAAAAATTAGCCGGGCCTAGTGGCACATGCCTGTAGATCCAGCTACTCGAGAGGCTGAGGCAGGAGAATCGCCTGAACCTAGGAGGCAAAAGTTGCAGTGAGCTGAGATCATGCCACTGTACTCCAGCCTAGGTGACAAGAGTGAAATCCATCTCAATGGAAAATAAAAGAAAAAGAAAAAGAGAGCCTGCACGGTGGCTCCCAGCACTTTAGGAGGCCAAAGCGGGTGGATCATGAGGTCGGGAGTTTGAGACCAGCCTGGCCAATATGATAAAACCCCACCTCTACTAAAAATACAAAATTAGTTGGGTGTGGTGGTGCATGCCAGTAATCCCAGCTACTCAAGAGGCTGAAGCAGAAGAATTGCCTGAACCCAGGAGGTGAAGGTTATAGTGAGCCAAGATTGTGCCACTGCACTCCAGCAGCCTGGGCGACAGAGAGAGACTCCATCTCAAAAAAAAAAAAGAAAAAAAAGAAAAGAAAAAGAAAAAAAGATCCATGAATGGAGAGTTAACACCCTGCCCAGAAAAGCCCGTGGGCCTTACTGCTGTGCATTCTACGACAGTCTTTCCCAGAAGGTCCTTGGTACTTACAGCCTCGTAGTCTGCGAGCTCCAGTCGTGCCTTGTTTTGCATTGTTCTCTTGCAGAGGTAAACAGCTGAAAGAAAAAAATCAACCATTTCTTGCCTGCTTATCAACATCATGGCACTATGAGTACAAGTACAGCATTGTAAATCAAGACGCTTGCACCATTTTCCCACGTGGTGATTTTCAATCGTTTTCTTAAACAAAAAATAATTATGTAATAACATTATTATTGAAATTCCAGCATTGTGTCATTTATGGTATCCTAAAAAAAATAAATAAGCTAAGAAACTTGGTAACTTTATTTTTTTAGAGACGGTTTTACTCTGTCACCCAGGCTGGAGCAAGTGCAGTGGCAAGATCCTTGTTCACTGCAGCCACAAACTCCTAGGTTCAAGCGATCCTTTCTCCTCAGCCTTCTGAGTAGCCGTGATTATAGGCATGAGCCACCAAGCCTAGCTAATTTTATTATTATTATTTGTAGAGAGGCTTCTCACTTGTTGCCCTGGCTGGTCTTGACCTCCTGAGCTCAACTGATCCTTTTACCTTGGCCTCTCAAAGTGCTGAGATCAGAGGCATGAGCCACTGTGCCTGGCCTATTTTAAAAATGTTTATTAAATGGTCATCACCATTTTTAGCATCTTTGACAAATAAGGGGAGAAAATAAAACCTTTTAAAAGTGTCACCAATTGAATTTAAAAATCCATATATACAGATAAAATCATTTTGTGAAAAGGAAATGATGAATTAGTAACACATTCAGTGATTCCCAGATTCCACTGTCAACTGAAGGCTTCCTGGCACCTTCTTTGCTTCATTTCAGAAGAGCCAATCTTCCATTGTTCTGTCACTAGGAGGAGGGTATGACATCTTACCTACCTTCCATAGAATTTCCTTTTCCTGAGGATTCAGTGGCCTGGGCTACCACGGAAAGCCCATCTGGGCAGCAGATGTATAGAACAGTGACAACAGTGTTTCGATTGAGCAAATTTCTTCAATTATTTCAGGGTATTCTAGTGACTCCCATGGCACCCTCAAGAGAGTCACAGCCCTCTGGTAGAGTCCTAATTGCCAGAATATTTTTGTCATTGTTTCCCACTCAATAGGTATGATATTTGAGTCTCATGAAACTCAAGATAAATTTTATCTGTCCCAGATGCTGAGTAAAGGCATTGGATGAGGACTGTGAGGCTACCTCTATGAGGCTGCCTTGGAAATGTCGCCTTTGCATTACACTGCACCAGCCTTAGTTTTGGATAATGACGTCCAGCTGGTATCATTAAGGAAACACAACTCAGTGCAAACAGGGGTACTATTTACTCAAGTTCTGTAAGGTGTCCTGTATGAAAGTCAAAGCAAAGGAGAGAGCCAACCACAGAATGATGCTGACATTCCTACAAATGCTCAGAACCCTGTAATTGGTATTAGAACACATCTGCCTAATTTTTTTGAGACAGAGTCTCGCTCTGTTGCCCAGGCTGCAGTGTTACGGCATGGTTTGTGCTCACTGCAAAATCCGCCTCCTGGGTTCGAGTGATTCTCCTGCCTCAGCTTCCTGAGTAGATGGGATTATAGGTGCCTGTCACCATGCCTGGCTAATTTTTTTTATTTTTAGTGGAGATGGGGTTTCACTATGTTCGCAAGGCTGGTCTCACTCCTGACCTCGTGGATCCACTCGCCTTGACCTCCCAAAGCTCTGGGATTACAAGCGTGAATCACCGCGCCCGGTCAGAACACCTCTTTCTACAATCTACCATGATAATTTTATTGTTCTACTAATATTAGTAATTATTAAAAGTTAAACTTCAAAAACAAAAGTGACATGACATGTTCATTTCCTAATTGGTCATAATTGACACTCAATCCTGAAGGACCTCTTCCTGTAGAGGCCACTGTAAATTGAATAAAATATCTAAAATGTTCTAAGCAGTTGTAAAAGAAATTGAAGCATATGTGAAATACCCCTGAGGGTGTCTCTTTGTGAGAGAAAGATCGAATCTTCTTAAAGATCTAATTGAATAATTTCAGCTTTCCTGCGGAATTACCCCTAACGAAATTTCAAGCCCCAGCTATGCCTCCCATCAATCACCCCTCCTGTGTCCTCCCGCATCGGCTTCTCCTTGCTTTACTGGTTCTGCCCATCTAATCTTTGTTCTTTGCAAAATCAGCTCCCTCTGGGGAGATGTTTCTCACCATTAGGTACACTAATGCATTACAGCAAGAGTCGGATGATGTTATTTTTTACATGACTGCTCACAAAGACATTATGCATCCTGTAATACAAGTGTCCTATGATGTGATTTTCTTCAATTTTCTAGGGAACAAAATGAAGGTGTGGGCAGACAGTGCCAGGCATAAAGTAGTGGTATCACATATAGTTGTTGAATGAGTGAATTGAAAAATGAAAGAACAGGAGAGCTTCAGAAGGAGCTATTTTGAGGTCAAACCAACTTAAGTAATAAAATCTCCCTAAATGTCTACTTGATTCTTTGGTATAAAGAAAGACAAGAAGCTGGGCATGGTGGCTTGCTTCTCCAGTCTCAGCTACCCTTGGGAGGCTGAGGTAGGAGGATCATTTGAGACTAGTAGTTTGAGGCTGCAGTGAGCTATGATTGCACCACTGCACTCCAGACTGGCCAACAGAGCGAGATTCTGTCTCTTAAAAAAATTTTAAAAAAAAAAGAGGAAAAAGGTACAACTCTGAGTTAACCGTGTAGAGAATAATCTGGTTACTGTTGAAGATAGAGCAAATATATTCTTGATTGGAGAGGTCCAGACCTCATCAATCTAAGATAGAGCAAATATGTTCTTGATTGGAGAGGTCCAGACCTCATCAATCTAGTCCAGATACTGTTGCTGGATGTTGACAGGTACAGATAATACTTTTTATTCCTTATCAGCAGAGAGTACTGGCATTGGTCAAGATGTGAATGAAGCAGAAGGTCCAAGTAGATCAAAGAGGATTCCAACTCAGGAAATTTCCCAGTTCCTTAAAGATTGACAAAATAAATGCACTTAGGCATAGTCAAAACTACAGCTCAGGCCAAGTGCTTTTGTGCCAATCCTAATTACTGAGGCACTGAACATGCTCTGTGTGGTGCTATGTATAGACCTAGGCCCAGATCCAAAAGAGTGAATCTTTTTTAACATAACCCTGAATATTTCCTGCTGTGACAAAATACTGAAAATATCAACTAATGATGCCATTCCTGGGGTTCTATTTAAAATGCTTTCTATTATTGAAGACTTAATTTCAATACCAAGTTTAAATATATCTCCCTGCAGTAGTTTTCCGGGAGATCGTAAGGAGACAATTTGGAAGACTTGGGAGGTCAAACAAGTAATTTAACAGGAGGCTATGCCACTCAGTGGGAGAAAGTTTGGCAAGGCCGGAAGTGCTACTCTGACTCCAAATGCTGCAGAAATAAGGCACAGATTTTGACCCAAATGCAACTTAGAACTTAGATGCAAAAGTCAATGTTTCTGGATCACATCTTTGAGTAGAAACTGAATAGAAAGTGACATCGGGTCTTCCCCTTTCATCTAATAAAGCTCTAGAGAAGCTGGAGAGGTCGCTTAGACAGACACTGATGGCCCTGACGAAAGTGTAAAGGCACATCACACAGGCCAGCGAGAAAATCTCTAAGGCCCCAGTATCAAAAGGTGGAAAGAACAGGAAAACTCATTCACCAAGACTAGAACTACAAAAGTCTAATAAATATTTTTAAATTACCCAACTTACAACCCAGGTAATCCAATTAACTTACATTGTCAGGCCATTCTGCTTTCTTTTTTTAATCACTTAAGTTTAGTCTGTGGCTAATTCTTCCCTTGTTCCTGAATTTTAAACAGTCAGGCAGTTTGTACAATCTTGTCTCTCATGCTTGGGTAATTCAGAGTCCTAAGTTATTTGAGAGGTGGCTGGGTCATGAGGGTGGAGCCTTCCTTCAGGAGATAAGTGCACTTATTAATAGACTCAAAGGAGCTGGTTCACCCTTCCACTATGTGAGGACAGTGAGACGGTGCCGTCCATGAACCAGAAAGTGGGTCCTCCCAACATCAAATCGGTTGACATTTTAATCTTGGACTTTCCAACCTCCAGAATTATGAGAAATAAACATTTGCTGTTTATAAACAAAACAAAACAAAAGGGTACCAGGTTATTATTACTATTTTGAGACTGAGTCTCACTCTGTCTCCCAGACCGGAGTTCATTGGCATGATCTCTGCTCACTGCAAGCTCTGCCTCCTGGGTTCAAGCAATTCTCCTGCCTCAGCCTTCCAAGAAGCTGGGATTACAGGCACCTGTCACCACACCCAGCTAATTTTTGTATTTTTAGTTGAGACAGGGTTTCACCATATTGGCCAGCTGGTCTTGAACTCCTCAGCTCAGCTGATCCACCCACCTCGGCCTCCCAAAGTTGTGGGATTACAGGCATGAGCTGCCATGCCCGGCCGGTTACCAAGTTATTAATGAGAATGTTCATCTCAAGTAATGATCAAATAATCATGCAGCTTGTGGGTGAGAAGTGTTAATGACTTCTCTCCACCCTGACTCCTTCTGTAATTCCCGCCAAGAACCATGAACTGAGGACTCTAATCCTCCAGGGACTGGAATACAGGAGAGGAAGGGACAACACTGACTTTCTTATAATATTTTTCACTGGAATAGAACTTTATTATATTTAATGGAGAATTTGAATTTCATTGTTGAGATAATTAAATCTGGTGTGGAACAAAAATAAATATGTACTTCACAGGAGCTTTCCTTTATTTTTATGTTAAAATTCTAAAAATATGTTATTTATATTTTTAGTGGATAAATGAAAAATTGCACATATTTATGTTGTACTGTGATATTTTGATATAGGCTACATGCTTTGGAATGACTAAATCAAGCTAATTAACATTTCCATCACTTTACGCTCTTACCACGTTTTGTGATGAGAACTTTAAAAATGTACTCTGGATGGGTGTGGTGGCTCACTCCTGTAATCCCAGCACTTTGGGAGGCTGAGGCGGGAGGATCACTTAAGCTCAGGAGTTCAAGATCAACCTGGTCAACATGGTAAA